CATCCCTTGACCGCACCCGGGTATCAATCAGCCTCCCATTGTATCTGTACCAGATGGAAATTCCTCCGGTACAGCTCCTGAAGGCTTCACGAACTACGTGGTCAAAATAGATGTTAAATAATGTGGGAGCCAGAGGACATCCCTGTCACACCCCAAGGTGTACAGGGAATGGCTCTGACTCCCGGCCACGTAGTTTACCCGGGCCCGCTCACCATCATGAAGGTCCTTAATAAGCGTGAGCAGAGGTTCAGGGACCCCGAAAGCACGAAGAACAACCCAGAGCCCAGGCCTACTGATGGTATCATAGGTCATGACCAGGTCAATAAAGCAGAGATGTAGGTTTTGTTGGAATTCCTTACACCTCTGCTGTAGCAGACGGACAGAAATATATGGCATCTGTGCAGGACCGCCCTTTCCTTAAACCGCATTGGGGCTCCGCAAGCCTCTCCTCAGCGTGCCTGGCAAGGCGATGTTGAATAATCCTTGCCAGGACCTTTCCTGGCACACTGAGGAGTGAGATGCCCCTGTAGTTGTTACAGTCTATGCGGTCCCCCTTGTTAAAGAGGGGGACCAACCAGGGCATCCTTCCAATCCTGCAGAACCCATCCAGTGGTCCAGACTGTTGTTATGATGTCATGTAGGGCAGTCTGTGCACAAACGCCACCCTCCCTCAGCATTTCGCTTGGGAGACCATCTCTGCCCGGTGCCTTTCCTGGTCTCAGACTCTCAACAGATGGCACCTCAGCCAGCCACTCACAGGGGGTGACTTCTTCCTCCAATATTTGAGGCACCGCAGCCTCAGTAGGGTCATCCCCACTTTGTCCCATTATGTTTTCCAGGCTAAGGGATTTTCTCTCCCCCAGGACCTCACAGAAATGCCCAGCAAATCTGCAAACCTGTTCCTGGGGGTCGGAGACTGTATCACCGTTCTTTCCCCTAATGATGGTAATAGGCTGCAGGTTACTTTTTTGATGGAATTAAATAGGGATTTGTGATAACGGGCCATTGAGGCAGATTCCATCTCCTCTGCAACCCGCGACCACCACCCATCCTTGCAGCGCCACACGGCGAAGGCTGCGGTAAGCCTCTTCATTCTCTGACGTGGGATGCTGTAGACGATTAGAGTGGGCCTGTCACTTTTTCTCAGCCATCCTGAACACCTCCTCTGTCAGCCAGGGTCTCTGGGGAGAACTGGACCGCGTACCCAAAGCAGCCATTGCAGCTGCATGAGTCACAGTCCTAAACCTCGCCCATTTACCCTCGACATCAGACCAGGCCACTAAGGGTTTGAATGGGGTCCTGGGTGTACACCCACCACCGGAGTGGAAGAATGGCAGGCGCATCTTATAGATGACTAGTCGATGGTCAGTGGGCAGATCATCTCCACGGTAGGTCCTGGTGTCAAGGACATGGGCTCGCATTCGCTGTTCCGTCACTATGTAGTCCAGCAGATGTTCTTGCTTGGACCCGGCATGCATTCATGATGTGGTGTGGATGCGCCGATGCCGGAACGTGTTGGTAATCAAGCCCATGGGCTGCACAAAAATCTCGCAGCCTCCGACCGTTGTTATTGAGCTGATGCCTTCCAATCACTCCAGACCAGGTACCAGCATCATGACCAACTCGGGCATTGAAGTCACCCAACAAGATGACTCAATCCCGAGGGGCCACTTTAGCCAGCACATACATACACACATACACACACACATACACACACACATACACACACATACGAATAATAGTGGTAGGGAAGCCACCACCACAGCGCTTGTGCCAGGCTAGGTGCACTTGGAAGGCCACGTGAAGTGTCGATGGCTCACTGAGCGTCGGTCACTGGGCAGACCCAGGTGCCGTGAGTTGGACTGCACGAGATGACCGGCAGATGCATCACCACGAACATCCATTACCACCAGCACTAAGATCCATTACCACCATCACCACGAACATCCATTACCACTACCACCACCACCACCACCACGAACATCCATTACCACCACCACGAACATCCATTACCACCACCATGAACATCCATTACCACCAGCAAGAACATCCATTACCACCACCACCAAGAACATCCATTACCACCACCACGAACATCCATTACCACCACCACCACGAACATCCATTACCACCACGAACATCCATTACCACCACCACCACCGCCACGAACATCCATTACTACCACCAACTCGGGCATTGAAGTCACCCAACAAGATCACTCTATCCCGAGGGGCCACTTTAGCCAGCACCTGTGACAGGTCATAGAAGGCATCTGACTCATCGGCCTTGCCTGCATCCCTCCACGGACGTTCGTCTTCAGTGGGGGCATAAATAACCACGACCACCACTCCCGCACACCTCGTCACACACACCTCGTCACACACCTCGTCACACACAAATACACCTCATCACACACACACCTCGTCACACACACCTCGTCACACAAACACCTCGTCACACACACACACACCTCGTCACACACACACACCTCGTCACACACACCTCGTCACACACACACACCTCGTCACACACACCTCGTCACACACACACACCTCGTCACACACACCTCGTCACACACACACATCTCGTCACACACACACACCTCGTCACACACCTCAACACACACACCTCGTCACACACCTCGTCACACACCTCGTCACACGCCTCGTCACACACCTCGTCACACACCTCGTCACACGCACACCTCGTCACACACCTCGTCACACGCCTCGTCACACGCACGCATCTCACCAGACACGCCTCTTCGCTGCCCCAGCCCAGTGGAGTGCCCCCGAGGTGAGGGTTCGCGTGGAGGACGACGAGGAGGAGGACGAGGTGGAGGTGGAGGCGAGCCAGGGGCGGGCGCCGCGGGTGCTGGTGGCCCTGCGGGCCCCGGGAGCCCGGCCCGAGCTGTACGGCGACGCCCGCTGGGACCTGCAAGTGTGTCAGCTGCTGCCCGGGCGTGGCACATGGGTAACCTTCACCAGCCTCGCCCGCTCGCTCGCTCCCTCAAAGCCTCACCCCGACACCCACTCACACCGCTGGGGCAAGTCCCCTTAGCTAGTAGCACCCCACACCCTCGTGACCCCTGCCTGTGTCGTCACTCGTGACCCCTGCCTGGTCATCACTCGTGACCCCTGCCTGGTCATCACTCGTGACCCCTGCCTGTGTCGTCACTCGTGACCCCTGCCTGGTCATCACTCGTGACCCCTGCCTGTGTCGTCACTCGTGACCCCTGCCTGTGTCTTCACTCGTGACCCCTGCCTGTGCCGTCACTCGTGACCCTTGCCTGGTCATCACTCGTGACCCCTGCCTGTGTCGTCACTCGTGACCCCTGCCTGTGTCGTCACTCGTGACCCCTGCCTGTGTCGTCACTCGTGACCCCTGCCTGGGTCTTCACTCGTGACCCCTGCCTGTGTCGTCACTCGTGACCCCTGCCTGTGTCGTCACTCGTGACCTCCCGTGACCCCGCCCCTCCCCCGACAGAAGTGCCACCAGCAGCCGGACCAGCCGCTGGTGGAGGAGCTGGTGCTGCGGGAGGTGCTGGCCGGAGCGGAGCTGTGCGTGCAGGCCCGGCTCAAGTCGCAGCTGCACAGCAAGTGCAGCGACCACTCACGCCGCGTGTGCCTGCAGCTCCCGCGGGCCACGGGGCGCTGGACGGGCCGGCACGCCGCCAGTAGGGACCCAGCCCCGCCGCGCCCTCCCAGGCCACACCACGCGACACGCTCTGCGCCACGTCACACGCCACACCACTCCACGTGCCACGCCACACCACTCCACGTGCCACGCCACACCACTCCACGTGCCACGCCACACCACTCCACGTGCCACGCCACTCCACGTCACACCACACCACTCCACGTGCCACGCCACTCCACGTCACACCACTCCACGTCACACCACTCCACGTGCCATGCCACACCACTCCACGTGCCATGCCACACCACTCCATGTGCCACACCACTCCACGTCACGTGCCACACCACTCCACGTGCCATACCACACCACTCCACGTGCCATGCCACACCACTCCATGTGCCACACCACTCCACTCCACGTGCCACACCACTCCACGTCACACGCCACACCACTCCACGTGCCATGCCACACCACTCCACGTGCCATGGCACACCACTCCACTCCACGTGCCACGCCACTCCACGTCACACCACTCCACGTCACACCACTCCACGTGCCATGCCACACCACTCCACGTGCCATGCCACACCACTCCATGTGCCACACCACTCCACGTCACGTGCCACACCACTCCACGTGCCATGCCACACCACTCCACGTGCCATGCCACACCACTCCATGTGCCACACCACTCCACTCCACGTGCCACCCACTCCACGTCACACGCCACACCACTCCACGTGCCATGCCACACCACTCCACGTGCCATGGCACACCACTCCACTCCACGTGCCACACCACTCCACGTCACACGCCACACCACTCCACGTGCCGCGCCACACCACTCCACGTGCCGCGCCACACCACTCCACATGCCACGCCACACCACTCCACATCACACCACACACCACTCCACGTCACACGCCACACCACTCCACGTGGCACGCCACGCCACGCGCCACTAGCACCTCCGATTAGCGTGGTTGGCGACGTGCGGCTGCGAAAGTTCAACATACACACATGGCACGGCACACCACCGCAACACGGCACTCACCACACCGCACGCCACTCCGCGTGTGTGTTGCGTGTAGACGCGTGGCTGGTGGTGGGGATGGTGGTGCTCTCGGTGCTGCTGCTGGCGCTGCTGCTGGGCGCGTGGGCCCTGCACTACGTGAAAGAGGCTCCCGGCACCCTGCCACGCGTGCTGGTGAGCACACACAAAGACAAAGATCTCCCGTGTAGCCTTAACAGACTGTAGGGGCAAGTGCTGTTAGCGAGCACCTGTGAAGGCCGGAACGGTACACGAGGGGGTGGGTGGCCAGCACCACGCCCGGCCGCCTTTGTCTCCCTAATGGCGATGTTTACACACCGCACCAGGTACTCATTTGAGGCTGAGTCAACCTAGGGGAGGCCCGGGACCGGTTCAGATAATCGTCACTGGTGTTGGCCGTGAGCGGGAATCGAACCCGGGTCGGCAGGTTCATAGCGCAGTGTGCTAACCGCTACATCACCGCTCCCCACACACAACGCACGTACACAACACAACAACAACCGCCATTCGCCACTAAGTGGCGGTGACGTCACCACGACGCTTGTGCCAGGCTATGTGCACCGTGAGGCCACGTGAAGTGTCGAACGCCCGCTGGCAGGAGGTCACTGGGCAGACCCAGGTGCCACGGGTCGACTGACTGAGATGACTGGCTGATGCACCACCTGTGCCCCCTACTGTGCCAACCTGCTGTGCTTTAGCCACCCGGCGTTCCGCTCGTTGTTGTGAGCGTCGCTCCTCCGCCCTCCGTTGTTGTTGGAGGGCGACTGCCTCCAACTGCCCAGTAGCATCCTTCACGAGCCTCCTCCACAGAGGCCGTTCTTGACACCGCTGGTACCAGTCATCGGCAAGTCCACTCAGCTCCACGTCCTCCTGTACCACATCACTCCATCTCTTCTCTAGCCCGTGCCGCGCCCGCTTAGCCCCCTCAATCCGGCCAAACAAAAGCTGTTTCGGCATGCGGTGGCTGGGCATGCGGGCTACATGACCCAGCCATCGCAGCCTTGCCTGCCGGAGGAGCTCACCGATGGGACCCTGCCCAGATCTTTCAAGGATTTGTGAGCTCCTCACACAATCCAGTCTGGTTAAACCCAGGATGGATCGTAGGCAGGCCAGCCTAAATGTTTCTAACCGGCGAAGATGTTCCACCAGGGGGGTCCACGTTTCGCAAGCGTAGAGAAGGGAGGGAATGACCGTGGCCGAGAAGACCTGTAGCTTAGTGCTGAGCGACAGACCAGTTAGCTTCCACACAGCGTTACGCAACCGATGAAAAGTTATTGCCGCTCGACTGATTCGGAGTGAGATCTCTGCTGTTAAACTGGAGCCAGTCATAAGCACACTGCCCAGGTATGGGAAACTCTCCACTCTCTCCACAACTGCCCCATCACCGATTGGGAGTTGTGGGGGTGGAGTGTCCGATGGTACAAAATACCCAGGCACATACACACACACACCACACGTACACACACGCGCAAATAAACCACACACGTACACCACACACACATACACCACACACACATACACCACACGTACACACACCACACACGGACACACACGTACACCACACGTACACCACACGTACACCACACACCTACACCACACACACGTACACTACACGTACACTACACGTACACACACACACTAACACGTACATCACACGTACACCACACACACCACACACGTACACTACACGTACACACACACGTACACACACACACGTACACTACACGTACACTACACGTACACCACACACACGTACACACATACATCACACGTACACACACACACACTAACACGTACACAACAACAACAACCGCCATTCGCCACTAAGTGGCGGTGACGTCACCACGACGCTTGTGCCAGGCTATGTGCACCCTGAGGCCACGTGAAGTGTCGAACGCCCGCTGGCAGGTCACGGGGTAGACCCAGGTGCCACGGTCAGTCAACACGTACACACACACACGTACACACACACACACACACGTACACACACACACACACGTACACACACACACACACGTACACACACACACACGTACACACACACTAACACGCCGTCCCCCACGTGTGACCCGTGCCGGTTCCCGCCGCTGGCGACGCAGGCGACCCTGCTGGAGGCCGAGGTGAGAGCCGGCAAGAGGCGGCCGCTACACAGCGACAGCCGCCCTCTTCACCCGCAGCACGGCGACGACGACGACGAGAGGGAGGACGAGCAGGGGGGCGACGGCGACGAGGGGGAGGAGGGCGACGACGAGGGGGGGGAGGGCGGCTACGAGGGGGGCGATGACGAGGGGGGCGATGACGAGGGGGGCGATGACGAGGGGGGCGACGACGAGGGGTACGCAAGCGTCGTGCGCGAGTTCCCCGCCCCGCCGGTCTCGTGGCAGCCGCGCGGCGCGCGGTGCCCCTCGTCCGACAGCGGCTACACCTCTCAGCTCCCAAACTCCTCCTCCTCGTCCTCCTCCTCTTCGTCCTCCTCCTCCTCGTCCTCCTCCTCGCGCTACGTCAACACGGCCGCCATCCTGGGCCTCGGCGGCGGCCACGAGGACGACGGCGCGGGCTACGTCGCCGCGGGGCTGGCGAGCGGCGTGCGCGGCCGGCCGCCGTGCGGAGACGCGGGGCCGGGCACCGAGGCGTCGTGGCAAGACTGCGGCCGCCCCCCAAGAGTCGGAACGGAGGAATTCTGGGAGAATTATGGGGCTGTCACAGATTACCCACCCGGTCTCCCCTCCAACACAGCACCTGGCGAGGACGAGGCAGCCAATCACAGCCAGGACGAGGATGGAGGAGGAGTGGCCCGGGAAATGGGCTGAGACACGGCAGGCGACGTCTGTTCTGGGCAAACAACCTCCTGCAGAGACTCGCATCGCAGAACCAATAAGCAGACAACACACGCCTGCGTCCCATATCTCTTGCCCTGCCAACTAAAAAATATATAAAAGTACGTTTCACACATTCCGTCAGCCACACGGCCTGCCTTCTGAGCTTCATTTCAGCGGCATTGGCTCAGCAGAAGCAAAACTCTGGATGAGCGACAACATCCGGTGTCCCATCAGTCGTGCCAGGCTCGCTTGAACCAATGCAGGTGAACTGCCAGATAGGCAAGGCCCTGTGTCTCAGATACGGGGGGTCCTAGTTCAACGCATAAACAACACACAAGAGACAAGCGGGAAAACTCGCCTCCTCTATTTATCCCTCCCCCAAGCGAGCCCGATGCTAAGTCTTGAAAACTGGCCCAGAATGTTCTCCTGTGTTGAACAAATGTTGCCGAAATGCCAGGAAGCAAGCGCGGCTGATGGGACGTGGCAACAACAGAAAACTTCAGTTTCTTGCCGTTGGTTTTCACACCTGATGATGACTGCTTGTGTTACGGTCGAAACGTCGTGAGAATTTTATTGTTTTATATATACTTTATTTTATTGTTTCCCTTCAACGTGACTTTACCGAAAGAACCAAGAATATGAAAACAAAAAACTTCATTTGTTATTTTACAGATGTGCTAATGAAGCGAGAGTGTCTGCTTCTGCTCGAGGAAGAGACCCGGCCAGTCTCCTGCACGGGGGTTAAAATATCAACCCGTGGTACGCGCACCCCGCCGCAAACCCAGCGTTCCCGAGTTTGATTCCCGCTCACGGCCAACGTCAGTGGCGAGCGATATTCGAAGCCGTGAAATACCAGGGTCACCCCCTCTTCAACGTCCCACCGCAGCGGTCAGTGTGAGGTATGGCTAAACGACACCGGGCGACCGACATCCAGCAGTGGATTAATTTAGGCCGTTGGTGCTCAGCGTGCGGATCACAATCGCAAGGTGGCGAGCTCAAATCCTGGCAGGGTTGGGTGTCGACTCAGCCCATCCATCCCTCTGGGGTCGAAAAATTACTACTTCATGGGGACGGTTGTTATTATTATTATTAAAGTGGTCGTCCCATGCAGAACCTCTACCTCGCCATAGGAATGTGGAATTTCCACCACTGGCTCTGCGGGGGCTGCAAACGGGAGATGAGCACCGATGCTCCTTCAAGCAATACATCACTTGAGGTACGAATCGATTTTTTTTTCTGAAATCGATTCTCACTCACGATGTCACTCGTTCACCCGGGAGAGCCTCGCCGAGTCTCAAGACTCGTTTGCGGGAGGGTCCTGCCAAGTGTTTTCACGCGAGATGCCACTTGCTGCGAGCGATCCCAAGTGACCTTTCACTACAGGGATGTTAATGACCCAACATTGGTGACACTGCGCGTGGGTGTAGCGGACCCAGGTCTCTTACCATCCAGGAACGTCCAGATAACGTCGGCCCTGCCCTGCTGTTGTTACACGTTGCGGTTTGTGTGTGGTCCAGGTAGGACGACGTGTGTGCGCATGTAGCGGGGGAGCGGTGGCGCTGCGGTAAGCACACCTGCACTGCAAATCTAACGTACCTGGGTTCAATTGCCGGTCACGGTTAACATGAGTGGTGAGCGACGCATCTAAAGTGGTGTATAAAGCCTCCTGCGAGGTCGATTCGGTTGTTTAAACGAGTACCCGGCGTGGTGTGCAAACGTGAACACGCTTGGGAAGACAAAGGTGGCCAGCAGTGGTTCTGACATCACCCCCTCTTGTGTGCCATGCCGGCCTACATCAGTGCTCGCTGATAGCACTTTAACCAACAGCCTAGGGGACACGATGGAGTTTTGTCTTTGTCATTCGGTATAATTGTGTGGTACGTGGCATGTTTGCATGTTGGCACAGTACGTGGCATGTTTGCATGTTGGCACAGGTAGTGCATGGGCCAGTTATATCAGTCAACCCATCGCACCTGGGTCTTGTCCCGTGACCTCCTGCTGGCGGGCGTTCGGCACTTCACGTGGCCTTAACATGCACATAGACTGGCACAAGCGCCATGGTGACGTCACCCCCACTTAGTAGCGAATGGCGGTTGTTCTGTTTGCGTGTGACTTGACAGTTTGTGAGAGTGGAGCTCCCTGGGCAGTATGTTTATGACCAGCTCCAGTTTGGCAGCTGAGGTCTCACTCTGAATCAGTTGGGCGGCATTATCTTGTCATCATCTGCGTAAAGCTGTGTGGAAGCTCCCTGGTCTGTCATTTCATACCAAGCTCCTGGTCTTCTCGGCCACAGTTATGTCCTCTCTTTTCTATGCTTGTGAAATGTGGAGTCCTTTCAAGGGCACATGTTCCAGTTTGACACATTCAGGCTGGCCTGAACTACGATCCATCCTGGGTTTAACCAGGCTTGATTGGGTGAGCTCACAGATCCTTAAAAGATCTGGACACCGTGCCATTCGTAAGCTCCTCTGGCAGGTGAGGCTGCATTGGCTAGGCTATGCAGCCCACATTCCCCGGCACCACATGCCCAAGCAGTTTCTATTTGGGGATAAATAGGCACGGCACGGGCTGGAGAAAAGATGGGCTGATGCGGTTCAGCAAGATGTGGTGCCAATTGGACTTGCCGATGACTGGAGCCAGTGTTGTCAAGATCGGCCTCGATGGAGGAGGCTCGTGAAGGACGCTACTGGACGGCTGGAGGGAGTCACTCTCCAACAACAACAGAGGGCGGAGGAGCGACGCTCGCAACAACGAGCGGAGCACTGGGCGAATAAAACGCAACAAATTGGCACAGTGGTGAGCACGTGACACATCTGCCAGCCATCACAGTCAGTCGACCCATGGCATCTGGGTGTGTCTCTCGTGACCTCCTGTGAGCGAGCCTTCGACACTTCACGTGGTCTCAAGGTGCACCTGACCTGGCACGAGCGCCGTGGTGACGTCACCGGTACTTAGTGGCAAATGCCGCGAAGTGGCATTATTGGTGGTGTGTGGTTGGCCTTAAGCGTTTGGCATACGTGCGTGTGGTACGTGCGTGTGGTACGTGCGTGTGGTATGTGCGCGCAGCCCGTATCGCTTGTGTTTGGCAAGGATGGGTGGGGGTAGTTAAAATGTTTACCCTGACATTTCATAGCAACTCTTAAGTCAACATGTAATCGAATAACCATGATAATACTTATTAAAACTATCCTGTATCCAACACGCCTGCCTCGGAGCGCGTTTTCTTCTTGCAGGGGCGGAATAAAACCCGTCCTGAAAAAAAAACCGAATTATTGCACAACATGCTGCATGGTGGTGCTGCTGGTGGCGGCGGCGGCAGTGGTTGTGGTGGTGGAATTCAAGCAACGGAAACAGCTGCGCACGCACCTCACTCACTCGATGACGCGCCTCCGTGTTTTGAACTCAACATTTATTTGAAATCTGAAAGCCTCCCCAGAGTTTCCATGGCGGTTATCCCCGCGCGCGCGCGCTCTGCTCCTTAGCGGAAAGAAATGTGACCACGATCGCCAAGGGAGGGAGGGAGGGATGACGGAGGGAGCGAGGTGATGGGAAACAGGTTCGTGGTGGGAAACGAGAGCTGGGTGGAGGAGGAGGGAGGAGGAGGGAGGAGGATGAGGAGACGGGAAGAACGACCGTCGCAAATGTGACTCGAGGACTAACTCGTCGCACGACAGTCCCGCGCAGTCAAGACTAGCCAGGGCTGGTCGGGGGCTGCCCGTGAGCGGGTGCCGTGCAGCTCGGGGTGGTTTACACGGCCAGAGTACAACGAGCAACGGGGAGCTGGAAGCAGAGGGACCCAAGAGCAGGGGATCCCGCGATCGGGGAGACCCCCGGGGGGTATCTGGGAACTCAGCCGGTAACCATAGCGATGGCGGTGCCCCCCCCCCGCCCCCCACGTCTCCACCGCCCCCCCCCCCCCCGACACCGAACGTCCCCCTTAGTCGTCTTCCTGGATCTTGCGCAGACCCTTCACCTTCTCCTTGTGTCTCTCGATCTCCTTCTTCAGACGCTGGATCTCGGCCTCCGAGTGCTTGATCTCCTCCTCGTGGTGCTTGGACAGAGACTTCAGCTGATCCGTGTTCATCTTCCTACACAAGACAAACATCTCCCTTATAGCCCGAACATATTTTTGGGGCCAGTGCTGTTAGCGAGTAGCACTTGACGAAGGCCGGTACGGCACACGAGGGGGTGGGCGGCCAACACGACGCCCAGCCGCCTTTGTCTCCCGAGTGGCGATGCTTACAAACCGCAACAGGTAATCATTTAAGGCCGAGTCGATGTGGTGTTGGCCGTGAGCTGGAATCGAACTCGGATGGCCGAGTTAGAAGTGCAGTGCGCTAAATGCTACACTACCACTCCACACACTACACAAGACTAAAACCCCTTATTTTGCCTACACACTCAGGGAGTCACACGCACGGACCTACAATGTAGCTTCCTCCTCTCATGCCGAGGCCTCGGTTGATACCATCCACACTCTGTTCAACCACATTGCAGGTCACAACACAAAGATCCCCCATATAGCCGTTAGCAGACTGTTGGGGCAAGTGGAACTATGAAGGCCGGCATGGTACACGAGGGGGTGGGTCGCCAACAGCATGCATGTCTCCCTAGTGGCGATGTTTACGCATCGCACAAGGTATTTAAGACAGTCGACCTAGGGGAAAGCGCCACGACCGGTTCCTGTTATTGGTCATGCGCAGCAATCGGGTCGCCGGGTTCGAAGCACAGTGAGCTAACCGCTGCACCACTGCTCCCCACAACAACAACAACAACACACGCGTGGATGCTCTCCCACCCACTCAACTTATCCACCCCCATTTCCTTACACAAAGTCAAAGACCCTCTTTGTATAGCCTACACATGCTGTTGGAGCAAGTGCAACTATGAAGGCCGGCATGCTACATGACGGGGCGAGTCGCCAAAAACCACGCGTTTGTCTCCCTAGTGGCGATACTGACGCACTGCATCAGGTATTTAAGTTAGCGAGC